AGAAAATATTTTGTAATTTTTTTCCTAAGAAATATGGACCCTTAGGGTTTTGAGAATTGCCATTGTAGACACATTTTCAAATGGCTATATCTGTGACTCTATTAAGCGTAGGAACTTGAAATTTATTGCAATTAAGCAATTAAGATTGTTTATATTTAAGTACTAATATTAACCGTTAAGTTAAAAAAAAAACATTTCTCAGAACACCTTCACAGAACTTTCATTATTTATATTTTATTTTAATTTAGTTTTAAATATAACTGGGAAATAAAAATTTTCAGGGTGGCATTATTTTTGAAATTTTTTAAAATTTTTTATCTCCCGCAAAACACATCAAGCACATGCGTAGTCTATTACCATTGAATGAATTTTCAAAGAATATACTACAAATATTCTTATATAATATTTTTGATTTCGATTAATAATAAAATTCTACATAAAACCCAAAAATTTTAGGACGATATGTCCTCCGAAGTACCTTTAAAAAATTAATTTATCCTTTACATCGCACTAAACACATGATTTGTCAATAAAAAAAAAAAAGGAATTTGAAATTTTTAATATTCCTGCCGATGACTCTAACAATAGCGATGAAGCAGATGAACCGGATCAATTTTAAAGAATCTACAGGAAAAATTTAATGGCACAGTAGGTGGAACTATGAAAATAATATGGCGTTTACATTGGCCGAAAATGGCTCATTTTGGTCAAAAATCGAAAATGAGTATCGAATGGCTCATTCTTGCATATAAAATTTCAAGCACAAAAATGAGCAATTTTATCACATTCTGTATGAATGACGTTCGAATGCATTCCACATATGTTTCAAATGCAAAGGAATCTATTGAACATACCCTAAATGAAAGCTCTTCATGGCATTTTGACAGTTTGAAAAAGCTGTTTTGACATATTTACAAAAAAAGGCAAACAAGTGTTTGGTGGTTGCATTTTCTTTAAAACAATGCACCAATTTTTGGAACTTCTACTTCCCAAAAATAAATAAATCGAATCTAGAAACAAGTTTTCAGTTTATATTGTAAGGTTTGAAGGTATATTTAACCTTCCTGTAACATTTTTTTGGCACAGAGCAAAAATTAAATCAACATGCAAGTTGAAAAATCAGCTGTTTGAATGAGAAAAAATGAAATACAACGAATGTAAACACTTTCAAATGATTCATTCAGAATGAGCCATTTTCAGCCAGTGTAAACGCCATATAAGAGTATTGAGTGTAATGCTTAATAAGTAATTCCGAAGGGTCACGACTTGCTTCCCGAACGCTATAAAGCATATGATCGCTGTTGCTAAAACAATTACTTCAGAAAATCTGTAAAGTGATTTGCATTGGCTTCCGATCATATCTGGTCTGGACAGCCCTGCTTTATATGAATTAATTTTTTTTTGGGTGAGTAGTGGAACTGAGACAATATATATATATACTTACCTATGTACGTATACATTTAATCGTATAGAACCTATATCCAATACGGCAATGTACTGTAATGTCGGTGTTTTTTAATTTCTGCTTAAAACGTTACACATAACATAAGGTCGTCATCAGTTGATGATCCTGGCCAAGTCATCATTCAAAAGATAACAAAGTGTCCAATAAGCGTGATCTATAACTACTCATTGTGACAATTATTAATAAAGTAGAATACTGTTTTAATTAAGATTAAAAATGTGTTTGAAACATTGATAATAATTATGTGAATTCAAATAGTTTATCACAACAAAAATAAATAATCTCTTAGAATCACGGAAAATTTTTCCTTTAAAAAGCAGTTGCGTTGTATGTACTATCCTGGCAATCCGTAGACAAACACACAACTATACAAACAAATTATTTACTCATCTTTTATTACTAAGAAACCCATTTTTACTTTTTTGAGGAGCATTTCCTTAATTTATAACAAGGATTACAGTAAAGAAACTAATCTGTAGCAATAAACGCTAAAGGTATGCTGAACCAAAGGAAACAAACATTTTCCATTGGTGATTATGTTTGTGTCGTATTTGGCGGTGAAATATAAGAAGTAAATTTGGGTTTGGCAGCTTTTTTGTCGCAAAAACAGTATCTAACAGGAATAAATATTGGAAACCCAAACTGCTTTGAAATGAGCTTTAAATCCTTACTAAATCTTGTCATTTTATTCTTTACCAGATAGTTTTCTATTGTATTAAGAAAAATTTAAAGCGTCGAAACTGAAATGTCCTGATTTCAAAAATATATGATAAAATTTCTTGATAAAATTTAGTCATTTTCTAAGAGCAAATGACGGCTTCGCTGGCTTGGTCCTGCCTTGCAAATTGAAGAAGGAAGAAAGTGGTTCGGCTAGAAAAGTTTTTCATTCAGTACCGCAGGTGGAAAACGTGGTAGAGGACGTCCGCATCTTAGGTGGGAGGATCAGTGGATCAACGATTTAAGGACGATCGGTATTACTCGACGCGGCTCACGTCTGTAATGGCCAACTACGTAAGTAGTAATGAGTAATTACCTAATATACGAGGTGTCATATTAAATTTAGACGACTTTTTTGTGGTTAGAGGTTGATCAAAGTGCTTATGTGAAAATCTGTGTTTAAAGCAGAATTAAATACAGCGAAGCGTTAAAAATATTTAAGAAGACATTGAACGATGGTAAGATGTCACCGCAACAAGGTTATCAATGGAAGGTTATAGTATCACGTTCATCAATCACAAAATGTTCGGCAAAATAAAGCAAATTATGCTTGCCAACACAAAAATTACTATTAAAAAGATCTCTGTATACTTATGTGAACTGATTTTTCGATTGCTTTGGACACTGGATGAATATGTCTGGCAAAATCTATTATTTCGAGAATTTGTTGACGAAACATAATATCATTGTAACACAACAATCCCATTCCTCTATTCAAATACCACACTGAGAAACTACTCTATTTCCTAGACCCAAAATTTGCCAATCTTTCAATACACAATATAAAGAAAAAATGGCGAGCTTAAAACCTGATCTAGGAGACAGTGTTTTCAAGTCAAAAAGATTCACGTTCCAATAGTGTTTCCTAAATGAAAACTACAGTAAGAAGAGCACATAATAAGAAAGATGGACTTCTTTGGGAGCGAATAAAAATAAACATTGATGATTGAAGATTAAAGAAATACTTTTTGAAAAAGTTAAAAATTGTTTTTACTTTTTGAATATAATTCATAAATAAAAAATATTTATTATGGCTTTTATATAAAACTATTGTTACAGATTGATTAAATATCAATAACCCAATCTTCCTAAATTAAGCCCTTGCTTTCTGGCTTAGATGAACCTAGCACCCTAGGTAGTAAGACTATCTGCTCCCATCTCTCCTCCATGACTACTGGAATGAAGTTTACACACTGTTGTGGATCTTCTTCATTCATTCCTAAGAGGTGGTTTTAGTGGATTCAAGTTTCACTCTGTGGCTTTCGAAGCTTTCCATCTACTACACAAAAAAAAAAATTTGTTGGATTAATGTGTATCAGTTTTTGGTAATTCGTTGAAGTACGGCTCTGTTATTAAACATGTTTTCCAATATTATACAACATTCAGTGAAAATATGAAATATGCATTTAAGTACGCAAAAATGTTTTTATAATTTTTTTGGTTAATTGTTTAATCGTACCAATACATTTTTATCTGAAAACACCTTTTGAAAGACTGTGTTTCGTCTACTAGGCACCGATTTCTTCCGTTTGGCTTCTGAGGGGACACATCTTTTTTCTGCTAAAATATATACATTTATTTACTTCTACCCTCATGCTGTAGCAGAAGCTATTTCTATAATTATTATTGAAGTGAATAACAAACATACCCATTTAAATCCGAACGCTTCACTGGTCATCAAATTAGACCCAGCTATTTGCATATAATTTATATTGCATTTATTTAGAAAAAAAAAAATTAGAATTGATGTGATTCTCAAGAACTAATAAGGTAAGATCAACCGTTGTGAAGCTTTATTATAAAAAAATGTGTTCAGTATCTATACTCGTAGTTTCTATACTCGTAGTTTCTATACTCGTAGTTTCTATACTCGTATAAGTTGTTACTGCAAATGCCTTTCCTGTATCCATGAGTTTCAAGTATGCTATGGCCCGCAAAATACATATGATGGTTTTGTAGTCCTTCGGTGATAGCACTACTATAAATCTAGTATACTTTCTTTTGTTTGATTTGAGCATAATATTTTTAGTGTTGCAGATGATCACACCATTCCATTTCGTTAAGATTTTTTTTATGTCTTTATTAATCTCAATGTACACACCTTTTTAAGTTTTTTTTATTTGTCTTATTAAGTTTTTGATGAACTGCTCTCTTATCATTCTCATAGCCCAATTCGTTTTCTTTAAAGCCTTTATGTTTTGACAGCCGTTTATAGATACTTAGCTATCTATCAACGGGTAAGGCCTTTCTGGATTGCATGTTTGGTACTAATATTTTTTTTCACTAAAGATTTTCCTATCAAAAATATTTGAAATTGTTAAAAAAGTTTACTCCTTAAAATCGTTAAATGGCCTAGCTTTATAATACTCGTAGCTAGGTAGATAACATTTATTGGAACGGAGAATATTGCGATGAAGCTCCTAAGATCTTTTTGGTTTTTATTTATAAGATATGTTTCATTATATATGGTTTCATTACTTGTTCTGTCCTTAATGCTGCAGCAAAGAGAAAACAGCGTAAGAAAGAAGTAAACTTTATATAAATAATAAAAATCTACTAAAAAATATATTTACTAAAAATATAATACAATTTTCGTGAATAATTATATCCAGAACATCTTTCAGTACAAAAAAAAATCTTTGATTTGGTCTACTTTATTGGACCTTTGAAAGTATCGAATTTACGTGCTTTCTGATTTCTATCTATATCTCAACAAATATTTAATACTCAATCTGAACATAATAAACAATTTGTTAATAACATTTATTTAGTTATGTTATAAAGTAATTAAAAATGTATTGGTAAAATCAAAGGCGGCAGTTAAATTTATTAATAGCTTATGGTAAATTATATCGCTGCATATATTGAAATATATTCTTTTTTTGTTCGAGAAACTTTTAGATTCTTTTAGATTTTAGATGTCTAAAGACAGCGCCCTTTTTTTTTGAAAAATACTCATTTCTTTTTTGGAACAACATAATTGTTGGGCATAAGGATTTTCTGCAAAAATGAATTAAAATTTGTTAATTTGAATATGAATTATGAGAGAATTTCAATATGTTTAACCTTAAGTTCCATCTTCTCGCGTGGACTCTTTGTGCCCAAGTCCTGCAGCTTCCTTAGCCTATTCTTGAAATTGTCATATGGTGCTGAGCTAATTGTTTTCTCCGGCTTGATTTTTTCTTCACTTTTAGTTTCGGCCTTGGCTTCGCCAGAGCCTACAGATTGAGGTTCAGATACAGAATCTCCTTGTTTTGGAGCTTTAAACATAAAGTCATGAAACTGATTAACATTTTATAAAATAATATTTTCGCTAAAGTATTATAAATTATTTATATTTCTTCACTATTAGCCGTGAATGTGATTGAAATTGTAAAAAAATTAAAGTCGACAAAAAAACAAAAAAATAAGAACCATTCACTAAATTACAGGTGTTCAATAAGTTCGCTGAGTGCTGCCATTTCGTCGGTCAAACAACTTGGCATTCAATGTAAATTACATCGAATTTCCTATTGATTCGTTGCGAAAACCATTGAAATTGGTATTCAAACTTTTCAACCAACATAGTGAACAGCTTTTTATATCGCAGTTTTTGGGTTTCGAATAGATCTACACAATGGGTTCTATTGTACATATCTATTGCATGTACAACACTGCCCGCACTATCTGTGGCGTATTTGAAATAATGAAAAATGTTTTGTTTGTCATTTTATTGTTCTAAGTCAATGTAAAGCTCTAATAGGCTATTTGCTGAACTTGTCATTTGAGGACTTCTGATTCTTCTTACCCAATTTTATAGAAATGATTTTCATTAAAATTTCATAGATATTTTAGAATTTCAAGTAAACTCTTAGAGATAGTTCCAAAAAACTTAGAATTTCTGTCCTTATTTTCATTTTGCGAACTTGTGGTAGAACTGAGTAAATTTCAAAAAAGGCTTGGATTGAATTAATAAGTTATGTGTTAACAAACTTATAAACCCAAATATTTGCCCATATGTGTGCTCAAAATGCGCTGAATATTTGTAAGAGATGAAGACCATCTTTTGACTATCTTTTAAGGTAGCTACGAGTGTACTTACAGTGACGAGGCTCCTCAGCAACCGTTTTTGGCGGCAAGGGTGCTGGAGTCTTCTTGACTGGCTTCTCACAATTATCAAGTTCAACCCTGCTAACAACTGCATAAACCATATTTTTCGAATTAAAATACCAGAAATCTATGATAGCAAGTACTCACCAGGTTTCTTGTTCCAAAAAGGTTTAGCTAGAAGTTCAATGACGCGCTTACTCATTTCGAACAAGTCTTAGTTTAGAAAATAAAATAAAATATAGTCTATGAAATACGTTTCGTAGAAATCTCTAAACTTTTTATAGCAATTTTTTTTGGAATAATGTTTGACAGGTTACTGAAAAAAAATTTGATTATTTTACGAATGTCAAAAATTCTGAATATATTTTGAATATATTTTGAATATATAATAAATATTTGGGGAGTATACTATTAACATATTTTTGCATATTAATATTGTAATATATTATAGTATATTATATTTAACAAGGTTTTATTTATCGTGCAGTGAAGACGTATTACTGTTGCAGTTGACTGTATGGTGATATATACCTATGTGTATATATATATATATATGGGCTTTTAATAAATTCCGAACAATTAATGTGCTCACCATAAATAATGGAATATAATAGGCGATATGTACGATTTCCTTATTAATAATTTGAATTCATTTTGGTATATACGCCACAGACTTTTGCGCTTACTGACGTCTTAGACACACACACATTGAAAGCAACTGATAGACACAGCAACTACAATTAAGAACGAAAGAACAAAAACATGCAAAAACAGTGTTGTAAAACGTGAAGAGATTACTCCAAATAAGGCCGTGTGCGAGTTCGAGTAAATTGATGGTAAGTGGTATTTACACGAATTTCGAGTAAGGTAAATTAGAAAAAAATAGATATCATTGTTAAAATTTTTTAAGATGTTTAATAAATGAATTTGAATACTTTTAACAGAACAATAATTGCTTTCAATATGTTTCTTTCTTTATATTATGAATATTTATGTCTTTTAATAATTGTATCACATTTATTTAAAAATAAATACAAACGTTATTTATAATAAAAGTAATATCAATGTGCAATGTCTTAAAAACGCAAATATAATGAAATATATAAGTATAAAATACTTTTTAAGGAGATTTTCAAACATTAGTGAACTACAACAACAAAAATTCATTTTATATTATTTTAATTAATTGAAGTTTCGGGTGACCATACAGCTGTTTCGAGTATTGCCAAATACCCATCATCAGTGGTCTTGGAAATAATTCTTGTATTTAATTATTTGTAAACAATTATTTTTGAGACTGTAAGTACCAAGAATCGAATTCGGGTCCTGCCAAATATGAAGCTCAGAATCAGCGCACCTTAACCAAGTAATCCAAAGCCGTACTTGACTTTTTTGTTCACATATTTTTCTGGAGTTTTGTACTTTTGCTATGAAAGTTTCTATTAGCAATTTTACTTGCTGTGTTTATATTAGAACGAAATCATAAACCAACTGTAGAATAATTGAGTTAATTAATTAATTGTATTTTTATTTTTAATTGTTAAATTTTAATACTTTTCCGTTTGTAGGGGCATTATTTGATGATATTCAAATCATTAAAAAATAATATAAAATGAATTTTTGTTGTTGTAGTTCACTACTGTTCAAAAACCTCGTTATGAGATATACTAGTTTCTTTTAAATATAATAGCCACTTCCGTCAGAAAATATGACGGTAAATTGCAACTCATATTTACAAAATACTTTTTATTTATTTAAGAAAATGGATGATTTATAAGTAAGTGCAGTGCAAAAAATCCCTAGGAAATTTCAATTTATCTCATCTCAATTTACTCGAACTCGCACACGGCCTAAGATCCACTATTATTGTGTAATAGAACGTTGTGAGTGGACACAAATATTCAATATTAATAAATAAATAATAATAATAAATAAAACAATTAAGTTATTAAGTACTAACTACCCTCCAGAAAAATTTGAAAGTAGATATATTTTCGTAAATACATAAATTATGATTATTACATCAATTCCAAAATAATATAAATTTAAATATAATTAATTTTAAAAATGAGTTTTGCTCTCTTCCAAGTGGTGGAAAAGAAACTAAACTACAAATTAACTTAAAATGCTGAGCCGCTTTCAGGAAAAAATTCATATTAACATGAGACCACCGAAAAAGTACTTGCAAAAGAAAAATCGACGAGTCTCCTGATATGGAAAAGAAGGGACCACTAAGCCAACAAAAGCAGACAACAAACCAAAAGGACAAATTAAACATCATGTATGGTCAACTATGGTCTATGGTCCAACTATGGTATTTCAACTTAAGGAAATAAGCGATCACGTATAGTACAAAACATATTTACAAAAAAATTTATTGTCAAATTATTAAATAACAATAAATTTAAAATAAATTTGATGTCAACAAACGAGATTTAGATTAGATTTAAGACTCGATTTTGAGATGGGTTGGGAACTTGTCACCACGTCACTGCATCCTTTGAGTATTATTGTGACATACCCACTTCAGTTCCGTAGACGAGTAGCAGTTAAGAACGCCATTATGTCCTTTGGATAGATGTTGCCTGATTCCGTTATAAGTGGATAGGCAGTGGATGAGTAACACAGAATGTCACTGTGATATAGGGTAATTACAAAAACACTCAGATAACAGCAACAAAAAAACTGCCGACGATTTCGTTTCCAGATGTGTTAAATGCGACGGAAAACACAATACAATTGATTGCACTAAAGCGATTGATAAACAGCCAAAGTTCTCCAATTGTGATTAAAGTCATCAGGCAATTTACCGAAGGCGCTACAGAATATTCGTAACAAAAACATCAGTAAGCAGAAGCCATCCACAAATTGTTCCAAAACCACTAATAATACATTCATACTGGTCCCAAACGACTGACTTCATTTGTTCTCATTTCAAACAGCTGATTTACCAACGTATATTTTATTTGAAAAGTCATTTATTCGATTTATTTTGTTCGCATTTATTTGTTAAAAATGAACGATCAAAATAAAAGATTGATTATTACAGAACAATTGAGTTATTTAGAAAATATAAAAGCTTTAACTAAGCTGGAACTAGATTAACAAGCAGTATACATAAAGCGAAACGTCCTCAGCCAAAAATAGGATAACATAAATAAACATAAATCACGATATGATAAAACAGAAATTAGCCGATCAATATTCGTTAATTTTGGAACCAATTTATGTTCACAAAAATAAAAGAAAATTCGATTGCTCTATGTTTTATATATGTTTTAGGCCCCAAAAGTCACTAAATATTGTGCAAAATATGATCTTTAATAAAGCTCATTTATTTTAACAACAAACTCAATAAGTGATAATATAAGGGCATTTATTATTTTATAAATTTATTTATATTTCAAATTTCAACCAAATCGGTTTAAAACCAATGAAGTTAGGGGGTTTCAGTAGCTCGATTGGACTCAAATTAGACTATCTCAGAAACTATATTTTAGGAAAATTTCATATCAATATCTGTATCTGGTTCCGAAAATATTGAGTTTTAATCGGCTAGTCCTTGTTTTGTCAAACTGTGCGCAGGTTGACATTATTTGAACACCACCCCAATGTTGTCTAGAAAGCATAGAAACCATCGGCATAACCATCGCACATATTAGCTCTTTGAGGTTAAAATATTATAAAAAACAACAAAACATTATAATTTTATTTAATAGTTTCCAGTTGGAGAAGGATAGGTCCGCCTTCTCAAAGACTGCTTGAACACATGAACGCAACCTGAAGACTGATCGATCTCAATGCACCAGTCTGCGAAGGCATTTACCAACAATTTATATAAATATCTGCGATGCTGTATTATGTGTGAGTCTTGAAGAGTATTCATATCTGCATCCATATCTAAATTTTGAATAAGTTGTTTCTACGCAAATATTTTATTTTGAAGCATTATTTTTTTTAAACGGTTTAGTCACTAACAAAATTTATAGTTTTATGGTTATTAAAATCCATAACTTCTGGTTTAAAAGGTCAGCGCTTAGTTACTGTGAAATTTCTAGCATCCAAAATTTTTACTATGATAGATATGTTAGATTGCATAGAGGTCCGTTGACTAACGTTAGGGTTCCTCCTAGTGGTTTGGAAATAAATAGGAGCAAGAACTATAATGAGAAATTGATATATATAGTTTTAGAATCTATATTTTTTATAGACTCTATTTAATTAATTTTTTTAAAGAAGAATGACAGACGTCTTTTTTCTATATTTTTTATTTGATCTCTTATTTATTGAAATTGCCGGTCAACACACGATTTCTTAATACTAGCACACTTTTATAATTGAAAGCTTCGAGCATCTACTCCACAAAAAAAGGTGTCATTTCATCTGTGCAGAAAGAGTTCATGTCGTGTTGCCACATTATGCTACTCCTGTTATACAATATACTATTCCCAAAACATTCTTGAAGATATGTCTTTAAAGAGGAGTTTTGCTGATATTTGGAGACTGTATGCATGAGTGGAACGACCCTATGGTTATTGTAAATTTACCACAGAATAGATTTCGTGAGTGACGAAACTTCTTGTGAACTGCATAATAAAACCATCAATGTCTTGGAGTGGCATAAAAAGGTTCCACAATCATTGTCAATTTAGTTCGTTTCTTTTTGGTCATATATATCATGAACAATCAAAAAACAAAAAAAAATCACCTGATGGTATATTTATGACAATTTATGACTCATATTGTTTTATGTTGGTACCTGTTTGTGTTGAAGTGTTTTGAAGCGCTTTGCGTAGAGACCATATCATAACCGATGAAGTTCTACTAAGGTGCGATTATTGCTATAATACTATACAATTAATAGCTCTAATTTACAACTAGTATGTATAGTAAGATCTTAATATGAACTATAGCCATATCTGTAAAAATTACATGTGTATATAAAGTTGCTGAAAGTTAGTACTTTTAATTGGTAATATCCATTGTTCATTGTGATGCACTCAAAGTTTCCAGGAAGAAGCAAATTACACTAATCACTATTGTATTGTATACGTGTATTTTTTTATTAAAATATCAATCATCCTTCAGATAATGTTGAGGAGACCCATAAGTTCATTTACGTTATCTCTTCTACGCCAGTTAAAAAATAGTGTCCAAGATATTAAAATCGCTTATTCTGTAATCAAAGACAGAGCCATAGAAAGTGGTAAATGGATTTTATATCTTTATCATCGTGACAATTCTTCCACAGTCCACTAGGCAGAATACGTCTAGAATTGTGTGCTAAATTGTCATTTATTCATAATATATGTTAAAAAATATTTTTAGATTCAGAATAGTAGCGTTTGAAATTTTAAAACCAATGAAATATTTTATATAACAAATTTTATAATTAATTTTCAGAAATAAAATTTGAACTCATATTTCGGTCGCATTTTTCTAAATTTCTGAACTTTTACAGTTTTTGTTTTTAAAAATCCCTCTTGATTCCTTATCTGCCAAAATGCAAAATAATATTGCGAAAGGTATTTGCGGAGCCGCAAAAAACTTTCGTTCGCAAAGTTAGTTCGAAAAATGTTTAATTTTTTTACTACAAATTATTTTCTGTATTTAAAAATTTTGATTTTCGTAGTTACTGTGACCAGAGGACGAGGTTTCATGGCTGGAAAATCCAAATTTTGCTTCTTACTTGAGAAGTCTAATGAAAGCGACGAAGGCTTTCGTCAATTCGATGGTAAGTTTTAGAAACATTTATCTAAAGTCCAAAGTCCTAATTAAATGGATTTATTGTCTTCCAATATGTTAGTAATTAATTAGTTAGTGATATATTATTCTATGTCATCACCTCATCATCTTTTTGTTTATATCTTTGCAGCACTCTCTCCATCTGCTTTAACTCAAAGAATTGGTTTAACACGCGCTTCAGTACTGCAAAACTCAATAAGTGTTCTGCCAGACATCCGTAAGAAAAGTAATTGCAATTCGGAAAGGATAAGGAATCAACTCGCACTTCAGCCCAAAGTAGTTAAAGTATGTATAATTTAAATAATGTAACCATATATAGTTCAGAAACATATATAATTTTGACATTTATAGGCTACCTTAAGTGCCCAGCAAATACTCTATTCTATTGCTACCGGAATTGGTGATACAACTACCACAACTGATCACTCGATTTGTGGTATTTGCAAAACGCGCCCTTGCTGTTGTTATAGAAGGTTCAACGGCAAGTTTTAGGATTGCTGCGGGTCTTACGGATGAATGAAACAAATTAGCAGATTAGCTTACAATCTGTTGGGAATTCACAAAATAATAGTCTTGGAAATTTGTTCCAAATGGATCTACTGGTGCTCATACATATGAGTTAATTATTTCCTTATTCAATATCATAACAATTATTATTAACGATTGAAACGTTGTAAAAGTTATTATGATATCAAATCAGGCGATAATTAACCCATATATGGAAGATCTGGAGCGGCATCCATATTTTGAACAAAGTACAATTATTAAAACAAAAAAAAAAACAAAAATCAATAACACAAAAATAATAAAGAACCAAATCTTACAGTTAAAAGTAAATAACTTATTAATGAATAGTTCGGGACTTGAACTCAGGTCAGGTCTCGTGTAGTAAGTGTTAAAATGAAGGAGTTCAAGTACTGCATAAATGCAAATATGTACTTATTGGGCATAACTTGAAGGCGAAAAGAGAATAGAATGTCCACATTTGTGCAAACTCATTCAATAAACCATAAGATAATAACTAGAGCTTCAACGGCAAGTACTAATTGTCATATTTATGACCGCAATTGCTTTAAAAACACTCAATAACTGGCGTGTGGTTCGCTTGAGTCTGATATAACACATTTTTCACAAACACCATTATGTTCATTCTATTATTGGGAATTTGCACTGCGACCTAATCATAACATAATAACATCATTATAATAATAAATAACAGAGTTTTGTTTCTTCATATGATATGAGATGCCTATGTAGGCACTTTTTTCGTTTGTGGATCAGTCCTATCTTGTGCTTCAAGATAAATTCTCCCTTTAAGATTTATTAGAGTAAATTTTTTTAGTGTGAGTTTTTTTCAGAATTTCTGTAATAATGCTTATATTATATCTATTTAGTTGCATATTATTCCTAAACCGTTTTAGATTGAAAGTCCCTATTAGCGATTTAGATTGTGATAGCCTTGGAAGAATTCCAGAATTTTCACTATAACAGCTGTTTCTTTCAGTAGTACTTTCTCTTGCTCCATATGTTTGACTACAAAGCTATAAAATATGATTGTTTTCGGTAATTCTCTATATAAAACCTTAATTATCTATATACCTTATTGTTATCATATCATAATTTAGTTTATTTTGTTATCTTAGCTATTTCTTCTATTCAACATATCGAAATCAAGTGGTGAAACCAATGCTATCATATTATCGGTCAACTAATAAATGTGATAATTTTTTTTATCCATTTAGTAAAATATTCATTACAGTAAAAATGTTTACATTTTCAATATAAGGTAACATCCATCCTGTTTTTTTTATCAGTCGGTGCAGGGCCCATCGTCTTCGCAGACTCTGTTGTGATTTTGAAGGGCGGTCAATAAGCTTCAGTCATTATGTCAAAGCTGAAACGCATAAAATTTTTGAGAATAATTTGACATCCAAAAGTAAAAACAAACAAACTTTACAAACTAATCGATTGTAAGAAGGATGTTTTGATATTTCATTCAGGTGAGTGAACAATTTATTACCGTGGAGTGATAAGATTTCCTAATGTTAAAAAAATATTAAAAATATATTGTTGATACATTAGATTGTCATTATACTTTGCACGATTTCAGTCTGTCAGCTGAGGCCTTTGCGTACTTTATACAGTTTTCAATAAACTGCGATTTCAAGCCTTATAGCCATTTTATTGGGCATTCGACTACAAAATATCATGCCTAAAGGCTGGGTATGTTGTATACAAATGTAGTTTAAACACTTTTGGACTAGTGATAGTTACATATTTTCTATACTATGGTATTAGTTTGTATAAAATGCAACTATCACTTGGTTATTCATCTTGGCATTCATAATTTTTTGATTATTTATTTTTGTTGATATGACGTATAAGCATGGGAAGTGAATCATAGCCTATACGATCTTCTAATCAAGTACTCGTAATTATTAATAAATTTATAGGGTGACATGTTTAGAAATTACTTTACTCTTTTTACTTCCATAATCTCGTCTACAGCTGTTACCGATATTCTTAACTCTATTATATCAAGTTTGAAAACCAATAAAGACCATGATTTTAATTTACATTACGTTTATCAAAGCCATTGTCTCAAAGGCCATTAAGGCAAAACGTGTACGCCGAAAAAAGCTATCAGCCGCAACGGTTACATTCGCAACTAAGCCATTAATACATTTTTTTTTATTATTTCGGAAATCACATACGTCGTAATTGCAATTGCAACAACCCAAAAATAAAACAGAAATCGAGCTATAGCCAAGAAAATGAAAATCTAAACACTAATAACTTCACCAAAAGTACACTAGATACATGATGCCCAATGTGTAATTACGAAAAGCTAGAAATAAATACAAAAACAATAATAAGAAGGAAGAAGTAAGAAGCAAAAGATGAAGGAAGTAGCCAAATAATAGCAGTAAAATAAGTTTAAGTTTATAACAACGCCTGATGTCCCAAAGTGATATGAGTCCGCAAAAAGGACATCAATATAATGTCTACTTTATATCGTGGATAAAATGCATGAAAATGAAATCCCATCCACAGTTCGAAATGTTTAAACAACCTGCTTTCACCATCCACTTTCCGAGCCATACCCGCATGCATTCTTACTTAGTTCGGAAGTACTGGAGTCACACAAATGCCTCCACCTATGACAATGGCAACATCACTGGCCACTGTCCATGCATGCAGATAATTTAAGAGCAAAAAGAAGGAATAAATACTAGTATGCCCACAACGTAAACACGTAAACACACACACACACACAAACGTACCCATATACCTACCCATACACGTTCATGTACACGTACACGTACACGTACGTCGTAGAGCGCATATGGAACTGTTGCCAATACATTACATTGTGGCATTACGATTTTGGGTCTCAACAAAACAAATCCAAATCCGAAATCCGAAATCCGAAATCCATACTCATAAACAACTGCAGTTAATCGCTTTTTATATTAAACATGTTTACGGAATGACAAAAGCCAGAAGCGTGCGACACGTTGATGCGGTACGCTCAATACCTTCGCAACGTGTAACTCAATGTAATGCTGACCAAAGCGTATCAAGCAGTTTATGGTTACGGCGGCGGAGAGCACCAGTTGTGGGTGGATGGATTTTGTGTAGCGGTCAGATTGCTTGCGTCCACAGCTGAAAGCTATATTTTCTCACAATAAAATTGTAGGATTTCCTTCTAATTTTTCTTTATGGCAATAGCACTGAATTCGAAAAAACTCCATTCTCTGGTTTTCACTTTTTTAGTCGAATCCTTTTGTTTGCTTATTTCAAAAATTTACTGCATATAATCATCTTGATTTTGAATGAAATTTTATAACCAAAAAGGCAACAAAATCTTTTGGACACCAGCAGAAAAATTAATCATTTCATTCTATTCCCAGATAATTACCAAGCACACAAAATCAGAACACAATCCTAAAAATTGAACTATAATAGGAAATGGAGTGGAAACGATGGAATGAGATGAACAGGAACTGATGATGTGTAGACTTATATATAATTCTTAAAAGTTATTGAGTTATTTTACAAAATTACTTGATTAAATGTACTTAATTTAGGATTTTAACATAGACAATAAATGCCACAATTATTACTTGAGTAACGAAATTCGAAAAATTGGTTCCAATAAAATAGAGCCACTATATACCTCTTCTTATTGTTACGTACAATGCATCTGTGTACAATGCCATCATAAATAATCGCGAAAACCACAAAAAACTCTAACTATCAAAGGCAAATAAAACTGGAAGACTCTAAAGTTTAAGGTAGTATTCATTTCGTTACTACGGAAGTATCTGTAAGGTGCACGTCTTCAAAACTTTTGCAAAATTATTAAAGCAAGCAGCACTTGTTTCAGAGTTTATGGAGTCATGCTAAACCAACGCTATAATATACATTGAATGTTTTGGTTTTCTATATAACTATCAATTTATCATACAACTCCTTGAGATATACATGTATATTGACCAAAAATATCCCATATTCTTTGCACCAAATTACAGTTTAGGTTACATGGGTCATATCATGGTTTACTCTTTTCAATTGCTATAATTTTTTCAGTGATAGTGGCGCGTCAAGTATTCCACATTTCCTTTCTGAGTAAAAGTTTCAGATTTTTTCTAGTATCTACGTGAGTTTAAGGGTATTTTATTATGTGGTCTAGACTATTAACTTTATCCGTGATATACCAAATCTTTAGCTGCTCGGCTTATTTACGAGGGTCACTATTTATATTTTGAACCTTGGCAAAACTGATTGCTGTTAGATGTCATCTGACGTTTCCATATGAAATTTTGACATTAATAAACATAACCTACCTTAGACCTTTTGTCAAAAGAGCATTATTTGTGTTTTTTACAATGATTTGTAAATTAAGTGGTACAATAATTTTAATCGTAGCCGCAGTTTGCTTACTGACGAAAATCGTGAAATTTTCATGCTATGCAAAAAGTGACACTCGTAATGCAAGATCGTCATGCGACATACTGTGAGATTGAGGTTGAGGCGGAACCCTAGGCATAAGTCCCACCAGCATACAAGCATATAAAATGTTGCACGATAATCCCATCCTCTATTATTGACAAAATCTTAAAAAGACGTTCGTGCCGATTGGTGAACAAATGCTCAAGAAATAAAATGGTAGTGCTTTAAAAAACGTAACATATACGAGTATAAGATTGTTACAGGTGACGAATCACGGATACGAGTATATGCGTTGAGCCGAAACATAATAAAAGGGAGGTGGAATTAATAATTATAATATTATTAAAACTTAATTTAAAACCAGATACTACTAAAAAATGTTTTTTATTCATTTTTTCATATTATGCGAATGTGCGAGTTTTTCTAAATTGATACTAAAATCAGAGAAATGCTAAATTGTGTCGATAAGGCAGCGAAAATCGGATTTAATCTATTTTTAACGTATCTAAATGAGACTAAGGACGGGTGCGAGTTAGGCTAAGTTGATACTAAGGCAAATGGGAGATTTTTTGGGATTTTTTTGCACTGCACACATTTAGCTATTTATCAACACGTATCGACACATCACTACATTATCGGCAAAACTTAGAATTTCCTTCATTTAGAACGCAATTTAGCCTAACTCGCACACGTCCTAAATGAGACTAAAGTGTTAGTGTTATCAGAGTGTGTTAAAAAAACAACTAGTGAGTTTATAGAAATCAGAATATAAAGTAAAGTATTATTTATAATACATGCATTAAATAATGTACTGTAAAAACAAATTATTGTTTTAATTTGATTTTTTTTTTAACTGGATAAT